CAGGGGTCACTCCTTTCTCGGCACTCAGAAATTACTCCTGGCAGTGCTCAGAGACCATAATGGCAGCCCAGATCAACTGCATGCAAGGCAAGAGCCCTACCTGCTGTACTATTTGTCTGGCCCCTTTAAAAAAGTATTTATTTGGGGGTTTCTCCCAAGCACTGCTCAGGAGGTGTGGGGCCCGCTCCCAGCAATTCTTGGCCAACAAGCTTGCAAGGGCCCGAGGACGTGGTGCTGCTCAGTTCTGCTGTGATTACTCTGGTTACCCTGTAGTGTTCAGTGCTTCGGGCCTCCAGTGCTACACCTGGCAGTGTTTGGGGACCATATACAGTGATGGGGACCATATACAGGTCGGCCACTTGCAAGGCAAGCTTCTTGACCCATGTACTTTCTCTCCAGCACTGGGAAAAGCATTTTAAGTTCTCAAATGCCTACACATCTGGAGTTAGGAGAGGAAAGACAGTTGTGTTGCCTGTGGCTTTGCAGGAGGGAATCAGAGGTGAATACACCCCTACCTCTGGGCCCCCTTGCTTCCTGTCTCTGTGGCTGCAGTTCTTAAACAGGGCCTGTGTCCAAGGCATCAGGAAGATATTTTGCCCTCTTTAGAATGCTACAGTCTAAAGAAAAAAGTGAGGAATGCCCTTATAGCAATATACATGCCTCTCTTATGTGTGTGTAATATGAAGATGTTCCCCCAGACCCACTATGGAACTTAGTATGAGCTGTGTTTTCTTGGTTTTCTGTTAATACGTATTTGCCAATGGTTCCTGTCTTCCAAAGCAGATCATAAAATGCCACCTTCTTCATACAGTCTCCTATTTTCTCCACTAAGGCATAAGTGAGATCTCCATTGTACCTGTCCTATGACCCTGACAGATCATCTTCATGTGAAGTTAACGGATACAGTTATCTTAACCTTGACTCAAATTATATTTTTAACGGAGGTGGCAAGATATTTCCATAATGTCTGAACTACCTTGTGAAGTTGACTGGGGAAATCATGTTTGCTTATTTGATGTATGTATGAGCAGAATCCTCGAAAGATAAATAGATTTGGCCATGACACCGCTGAAGGTTGGCACAGCCTCATCCAGATCCTATGTGAGATGCTGATTGCAAGCCCATGATGGTCCCTTCACAACTTGGCACCTAATTAAGTTATTTTTCATCAAGTGTAAAATTCTCCTCTCACTTTTGAGACTCCTACTTTAGGTTCTTGCTATTTCAAATGCCCTTATTTTCTGTCATCTGTGCTAACTTTCTTTCTAGTAGGTCTAACCAGTCCTTCACCTCCTCTCATCAATTAGGCACTTTTGTTAAGAATTCTTTCCCCCTCCCCCTGCCTGTACTGCTACCCTATTCTGTATTTGGGGGTATTGGGGTGAGAGGGGACCCAAGTATGGCTCAGGAGGCTCAGGGACCATTTCCAGTGATTCTCAGCCAACTGGGCATGCCTGCGAGGACTCAAGGATGCTTGGACCCTGTGGATTATCCAGGTCATCCTGGCAGTACTTGAAGGCCTCGGGGGCCACATCTAGACATGTTTGGGGAACCATGTGGTACCAGAGATGGAATCAGGGTTGAGCACATGCAAAGCATTTACCTGAACCTCTGTGCAAACTCTCTGTTCCCCTCCCTTTTCCTAAGTGATCAGCCTTCCCTGACTCTTCTCCTGAGCTCTCATTCAATCCTCCAATCCTCTGGATTTGCACAGCTCGATACAGGTGATCCCCTGACTTGTGGTGTCTCCTGTGATGTCTTGTGGTACATGTCTCCTCATCCCAACTTCCCTTTCAACTACTTGGCAGATAGCATCTGCCTCCTGAGGCACAGTCTGGTGAAGACAGAACTTGTCCTTAAGAGACAAAACTACAGAAACTCAGCTGGTACTTTGAAGAATAAGCAAGAGTGGAAGCCAGGGATATGGCTCAGTGGTAGAGCTTTTGATGCCTGTGTGAGGCCCTGGGTTCGGCTTCGCATACCATAGTGAAACTCAGTCACTGCCAGTAGTGACCCCTGAGGCCCAAACTGGAAGTAGCTCCTGAGCACTGCTGGATATGATACAAAGTCACGGTCACAGTCCTCCCGTTGTTCATCGATTTGCTTGAGCGGCCCCAGTAACGTCTCCATTGTGACACTTGTTACTGTGTTTTTCATATCGAATATATCACGGGTAGCTTGCCAGGCTTTGCCGTGTGGGCAAGACACTCTCGGTAGCTTGCCGGGCTCTCTGAGAGGGGCGGAGGAATCAAACTCGGGTCGGCCATGTTGGCTGGATGCAAGGCAAACGCCCTACCCACCGTACTGTCGCTCCAGCCTTATTGCTTCTCAGCCTTTTGGCTAAGATCAAGTGTAGTGATACAAAGTAAAAAAAAAAAAAAAAGAATAAGCAAGAGTGGAGAGGAGGTGGGGCTGGAGCAATAACACAACGGGTAAGGCATTTGCCTTGCATGCGACCGACCAGGGTTAGATTCTTAGCATCCCATATGGTCGGTCCCCTGAGCACTGCCAGGAGTGATTCCTGTGCAGAGTCCTGTGCATCGCTGGATGTGACCCAAAAAGGAAAAAAAAGAGTGGAGAGGAGGAAGTAAGGTGATGCTAAGGAAGGGACCAACAGACTTCGGAGATGAGGAAGATGAGTGGTGAGGGGAATGGAAGGTACATGCAGGGAGTTGTGGGAAACTCACATGGATGCATGGACTGGGGCACTCATCCACTACTTAAAAATTACATTTTACATTTTGAGTATCTGCTACATGCAAGACTATGCCAGACACTGGGATATCTTTATAGGCTGGCAGGCCAGTGGGAGAGGCAGATACCAAGCAAGGTGCCCAAACACAGTTACACATACAAACTGAAACAAGCAATGGAAGAGATAAGACCACACCAGTATGGAAGAAACACTATTAAAGCCTCCCATGTTCCCTCAGGGATATGTCAGGTGAGTTGCCTGTAATATTCAATGTCAGACCACAGGATGAGGAGGAGCCCAGAGCTCTTCTTACACGAAGAAAGTAGCGAGAGAGTACAGGGGTTAAGGCACTTACCTTGTATCCTGTCCATCCTTTTCGAATCTTTAGCACCATATGTGATCCCCCTCGCCCCCAGCATGGCCAGGGGTCACTCCTGACCACAGACAGCGCTAGGACTAGCTCGAGAAACCAGAAAGAAAGAAGAAAAGTGACATGCAGCTTAGAGAGCTGGATCAACAGGTGGAGTGTGTACCGTGCATGCAGAAGCCCCAGGTTCAATCCCACACCACACGGTGGACAAGCACAAAGCAGCCCCCAGGCAATGCTGGGGACAGTCCACGGACAAAAGAAAATGAACACAAAGCAAAATAAAAAGCGACTTGGCTTCCTGCTCTGAGCTGAGTTGGCCCTGTGATTCTCTCAAAAATTGGTCTTCCTCTCTCCATTTGCAGCATTAGCTAAGTTTTTAGGAATGAGGGACCATTGAGAGGACATGGAAAGGCCAATTCAGTCCCTTTCCTGTTGGTAGCATCGCTCTGCTGACCTGGTAGCTTTGTTAATGGAAGTTATTAATAAAACAGTTGACTGTGAGTGGGCATAGAAAAAGGTCTGTGCTGGTGGAGCCCCTGCTGGGCTCACCTCATAGAACTTGCACACTTCGTTCTGGAGATAGAAAATGTATCCTAAGCTTTTGTGGAGCGGAGTTCCATCCTGGATAGCCTGTATTTCTAGCATTAGGTATGGAGTTCACCTTCTCCTTACCGTAAAAGTCAAATGCTGTGAGCTCTTGTACCCCAGGGCAGAGCTTCCTATGGTGGGGAAGCCAGCAGCAACATGATGCGAGGATTACAGCAGCTTGGAGAGGCACCTTCTTTGGGTCCTCTGCAAACCCTGACGGGATTCCCTAAGGATAGCAGCTTCCAGGAAGTTTTCTCGGGGGTCAGAGAGATAGTTCAGTGGGTAGGGCATTTATCTTGCATGCATCCGACCTGAGTTTAATCCCCGGCACGTTCCCTAAGCTAGTCAGATCCCTGAGAAGTAAGAAGTAAGCCCTGCGTACTGCCAGGTATGATCCCAAAACAAACAAAAAGAAAGTTTTCTCTGTATCACCTGGTCTGCTACTTCTAGCCCTGACTCAGAGGAAATCCTAAACTCAGAAAAAGATCAAGTGGGGGTAAAGATATGGAAAGGTGGTGGCAGCCAGTGGGGGGGGGGGGGGGGAGGAGGGAGAATTACATGAGTGAAGCAGGTGGGCCAAGTTGGACTGTGATATTCAGAGAAGCAAACATTGGCACCAAAGGGAACCAGTAAAGACCCAGAGTTTCGCCATCTGTCAGCTTCTGACAGAGCCTCCTGTTTCAGATCCTTCATTGGCTGGTCTACTGCAGCAAAGCTGACTCCAGGAACACCCACGGCAGGAATTGATTGGAGTATCCTCGATGGGGTATGAAAATCAGGGTGCTCTAAAGAGGGCAGTGAGCCCCAGGGCAGGAGCTGTGCCCAACCCGGGTAGAGTTGCCTGGGTACATTCTAGCCCTACAACTTTGGTTGTTGACCATTGGCCAGCCTCCTGATCTCATTCAAGTTGTTGATAGAATAAATAATACATGAGGAAATTAATTGAAAATTGCTTCATCATTTCTGAGCTAAGGGTTGACAGTGATTCTAAGGGACTTGGTCATTTCTTTCTTCTGTCGGTGGCTCCCAAGAGAGCTTTCTCAGGAGAGGGTGAGATGGAGGATTCTTTCTGTTGACAAAGGAGAAGAGCACCCGGCCCCCCGGCCTCCTTGTCAGGGTCTTGGTGGAGCTGGACTGAGGTGGATGTGCTCTGAGCGCCCATTGGTTCCCAGGGGGAATGCCATTGGGTGGGCTGGGGCTGGAGGTGGCTGTGGATACTACAGGTCCTATCGGCAGAGGGGGGTCTTCCTGGGGAGCCTCTGCTAACACAAGTGCAGGGGACCCTGCTGCCGCGTCAGCATCCTAAGACCAGTTTTCTGGTCCATGTCACTACTGTTCTCCCCACAGGTCAGTGAGCTAGAAAAGGAGGCCGTTTCCTGTCTGCTGACCTTCTTCAAGTTTTTATATTTTTGTCACGAAACTTTTCAAACATACACAAGGTAAAGGTAAAATGCAGGTAAAGAATGACTCCCCAGTGCTCATCACCTACAACTTCAGCAGTGATCAACTCGAGGCTAATATTGTTTCACCTATACCTGCGCCCACTGGGTTGTTTCAAATCATTATTTTATCTATAATCTTCTGTACTCTGTGTTGCTGAAAACTGGTAGTTAGATCTCAAGGTCTGAGGAGATTCAGACCCAACAATCAAAAAACTTTTTTTTAAAAAGTAGGGCCCTTTCCCAAGTCCTGTGGGGATGGTCACTTCCAAGGATTGCTCAGCCCACTGGTTCAGGAGCCTCTGGGGCTCTGCTGGACCCATACCGTAGCTGACAGTGCTGGGGGTGGGGGTCAGGGGCAGTGCGGTGCTGGGAATAGAACCTGTATGTGTAAGGCATGCACCCCGTCCTTTAGAGCTATCTCCTGGGCCCTGATCTAACTTTGCCTGTGAAGGACACTTCTGAGGCGTGCCATGCACTTCCTACCGCTCCACACAAGGAGGTTCGGGACAGGTACTTGCCCTCCTTCTGTGCTGCTCAGATTGGTTGGTTGGTTGGTGCTGTGGTTGGTCTGATCTGATCTCGCCATCACAAATCTTCCCCTTCGCCTTGTTTTTCAGTAGCCATGGGTGGTCATTGCCACAGGCCACCATTTCATCAGGAGTTTCCTTCACATTTGCACAACAGATTGCAACTCTGTCCATCCTCTGTTTTTATACCCCCAACCCACACCCCTGCAAGATGTCACAGATGCCCCTAGCCCTTTTGCAGTGTTGGAGACTGAACCTAGGGCCTTGTGTGTGTGTGTGTGGCATTTGGTTCTGCCACTGAGCCACATCTCTGGTCCCCTCAATCCACTTCTTCTACCACTGCCCTTTACCCTGCTCCGTCCTTTCCTTCCTTTTCAATTTAGGATGACCCTCTTGGGGCCCAAAGATGAGTCTGTGGTGTAAAGAAGACATTCACCCTTCAAGAGTGAAAGTTGTGATCTCAAACCCTAGAGCTGCCATATACACTGAGGTCATCGGGACCCCACTATGTATGACTCCCAGTGAGATGGGCTGGAAGATGGTTTAGTGGATCAAAGCGCTTCCCTGGCAAGCACTCAGCTGCAGGTTCAAACCTTGGTGCCACCTCCATGAGCTAAGATCCTGATGACCCTGCTGTTCAGGATCCCCAGCAAGGAAGGGCCCAGAAGATGCTCAGTGGCTTCGAAGGCTGTGCATGCACCACAGTTAGATCCTGAGTGCCCTCAGGTCCACCCTGCGGACCGGTGTTTCTCTGGAGCACTTTCCTGGGAGACTCCTCTGGAGAGGGCTTCCTCCTGGAGCTCCCGAGGATGCTCTTGGGCACTCCTTCCAGGGCCCAGGTTGCCCATGCTGCGGGAGCCAAGGCCAGCAGAGAGGGTGCTGCAGGCTGGGCTCTGTTTACCTTCCCAGGGATTTCGGAGCCGCCTTCTTCTATGCTGAGAGGGTCTTTCCCACGTTGCCTGAACTTCCTGCCCCAGGCTGGACCCTGGCAGGGACCCAAGCCTGGTTTCCTGTTTAGCTGGGCCGTGGGGCTGGGAGCGGTTGGGCGGCTCCAGCACGCTGAGGCACTCTTTCCTGTCCGGCCCAGTCCAGCATCCTAGAAGGTGGCTTGGACACAGCTCGGCTACCAGTCCCTGAGCAATCCTGTGCTGCCTGGGGCTTCCACTTCCACATTTGTCCTCACAGGAGGCCCTAGAGATACTAGCACATGTGTGTGTGTGTGTGTGTGTGTGTGTGTGTGTGCGCGCGCGCGCGCGTGCACGCACAAATTCCAGACATACACAGTACACAGAGTCTGTGGGTTTCTTTCTTTTTCCTTCTGGGCCATGCACTGGTGGTGTTCAGGGCTAACTCCTGGTGGGGTTCAGGACTCTTATGTGGTACCGGAGATCACACTGGGGTCACTTTGTGATAGGCAAGTGCCTTCATTCCTGCATTGTCTCTCCGGCCCACCGTGGGTACTGTGAGCAGCTAAGTGGGAAGGCACCCTGAGTGGAGAGCTGCCGCCTGCACACCGGAACCCGCCCTGGCCCCACCACTTCCCACGGGAGTGCCACATTTCCACCACCCAACCCACAAGCTGTTAGTCCTTACCTCACGCTGACACAATGGGGAATCTGAAGTGACAGGAAGTCGGAAAGGTGGAGGCTGACTAGAGGCCTGGCTGGGCGGTAGCCAGAGAGCACACAGGGCTCTGCCGTGACAGCCCCGCGCCCAGGACAGGATTTCTGAGGAGGGGCTCCTACCCCTGGCTGACCCCCTCACACCTTTCTTTGAACTGGTTTTTCCGTGGGCCGAGTGGATCATCCCGAGGGCCTCATTCTGTTTTGGGGAAAGACATATCGCAAGATTGCTTCCTGGCCTCCCTCTCCTGGACAGCCACACAGGTTTTATGTTCAGTCCTACCCCTTTCCTTTCTCTGTAAAAGGAGAGATTAGAGCAAAGTACTGCCAACTAGCACTCCTTGCCTTTCAGCAGCCTCTTCCTCTAACTGCAAGGACTCAGTTCCCTCTCTGTCTTCATTTGTTTCACTTCCCTGGCTCTGGTGCTCAAGAAATTTATTTGTGGTGCTTGCCGGGGACCACCCATTAGGCTGAGATGCTCCCACACCTGGCCACAGTGCTCACCAAAGGTCACACCCCTTTAGTTGTCGTTCTTGCACCCATGCCTGCCAAAGGTCATACTCTGTAGCTGTAGCGTGTGTGCACACCTGACTGCGGTGGGCTAAAAATTGCCTGCTACACCAGAGATCACAGTCAGTCAGCAGTTATGCCAGGATCACACTGGGCACCTGTAGAGGCCCCAGAGATGGAACTTGCAGCCTTGAACTTGCAGTGCAGATACTCTTGAGCCACAGGGCTACCGCCAGCCTCCTAAAGACTGAAATCCTCAAGGTTCCTGGAAGGTCTAACTCTTGCCTTTCTCTCCAGCTCATCTCATACCCCCCGAGTCCCCATCATTGCATTCACCCTCACCAGCTTGTCCTCCTACTCCCTGATCCCACAGACCCCCATCTGCTTTAGGACCCTTGTATGTATGGCTACCTCTCTCCAGGCCCTTTCCCTCCCTCGTCTTTGTCTTTTCCTGGGCTTTTGTTGGTTTTAGGTCTAAGACTACCTCAGATCTTTTTTTTTTTTTTTTTTTTTGCTTTTTGGGTCACACCTGGCGATGCATAGGCGTTACTCCTGGCTCTGCACTCAGGAGTTACTCCTGGCAGTGCTTGGGGGACCATATGGGATGCCAGGGATTGAACCCAGGTCGGCCGTGTGCAAGGCAAACGCCCTACCCGCTGTGCTATCGCTTCGGCCCGACTACCTCAGATCTTAGCTCAACTGTAAATTCTTCCTGGAACTGAAGACTTACTTGCAGTGACCTTCTCCTTGTTTCACTGTTTTCATTAATAATTTCAGGTGTGTTTCTATGATTATTCTACTCACATGGGTCCCTTCCTCCCTTCTTCCCTTTCTTCCCTTTCTTCCCTTTCTTCCTTTCTTCCTTTCTTCCTTCCTTCCTTCCTTCCTTCCTTTCTTTCTTTCTTTCTTTCTTTCTTTGTCTTGGGGCCACACCTGACGGTGCTCAGCACTTAAATCCTGGCTTGCTCTGTGCTCCTGGAAGGCTCAGGGGACTATATGGGAGGGGAAGGGGCTGAGGATTGAACCCTTATGTGCTGCATACAAGGCAAGCGCTCTATCCACTGTACTATCTCTGGCCCCACATGGGTCCTTCTGAAGGCTTTTTCGTAAAGGCAGAAAACCTTTGGCAGGCATGGGTGCAAAAACCACAGCCATACCTATTTTTACTTGCCATGATGTCTCCAGTACCTTGCAAGGTGCCCCACACATAGTAGACAGCCGCTGACTGTCAAATGAGTGACTGGGTTTAAATGTTTAAATGTCATTTCTCCTTTACCTTTAAGTAATATCCTACCATTGAGTTCAAGTATATACCAATTAACAGGTGTTCATGTATTATATGCCTGATACCACACATACACCCCCCCACACACACACACACATATGCTCGCATGCTTAATTCTTTCAACAATAGGAAGGTTTTCCCCTAATCTCCAGAGAAGGCTCACTAGACCCCAGGTCACACAGTGGATGGTTTCAGGCTCATAACCATGACACGACACTGCCCCCTTTTGGCAGTTTGGAAAGTTGTCAGTGTGCCCAGCCTTCTCTTTCTGGAGGGAGGTTGGTTCCTTTGCACTCGAGATCAGTGCTTTTTAGAAGCTAACGCCCCAAGAAACCATAGCTTGGTTTCTGCCCTCCTGCTTTGGGGCCAGCCTGTGGAAGGACTCGGGAAAGGAAATTCCACCTGTACATGTCAGAGTCTCAGGTGCATGTGGCTCAGGATTCATTTCCCTTTTTTGTTGGCCTTTATTAGGACTTAATGCAGTTTCCTATTTGAAAGAGCGGAAGAGCTAGCAGCTGAAATGGCCTGATCAGCAGTCCTGGGGAGTAAGCTTGGCCTGATTAACAGGAAAAACCACCCCAAATGGGAGAGCGTAGCTGTTTTTGTTGTTGTTATGGCTGTTGTTGTGATTTAGTCACTTAAAATGAATAGAAATTGGAAAATTCAGACTCAGTAAGAGGGCAATAGCTCCTGCTGTTGATCAGAAAAGCTCAGGTTAATTGCTAATATTAATTAATATCCCAAGCTCCTTTTAGTAGCCAGGGAAGTTCACATTGGCGAGTGCTTTAGAAGGAAACAGAGGAGGAGTGAGCAACATAAAACCCCATTCCAGTTGTTGTCTGTGTCTGAACTGTGTAAAGTATCTTACACACATTATTTCATTTTCATAACGAATTCTTCAAAGTAGGTAATATTGGGGCCAAAGAGACAGCTCCTTGCATGGAGCTGATTTCCTTTGAATCCCTGGCACCACGTGGTCCTCTGAACATCACAGAGTGTAACCCTGGACACCCCCTCCCCACATGACGGGGGTGGCCTGGAGGTTCCTGGACACAGGATGGCCCAGGCAA